GGCTATTATCCAAATGCAGACTTAATATCAAATGCAACGAAGACCAATCTCAGAGAGATTAAGGACTTTTACTGCTTTAGGATTTTGGAGAAGAGAAGGAGCTTGAGGAGGAGGGGTGGCGGGTAAGTCATGAATGAGTTGGATAAGGAAGGAGTATCTTAGTGTGATTTTTTTTTCCTGAGTAAAGCATGCATCTTAAAATAAAATTACCCGCTGCTCCCAACATTCGAATGACCCTACCTATAGCTTCATCCTGACAAAGCGGGGTGGAGGGTACAACATGGTGGTTAGGGAGAAGTAGAAGATTGAGAGTCAGGGAGACTCCACGTACCACATGAGTACGAGGGCTGAAAAAAAAAAAATCTGTCCACATTCCGCTGAAATCTCCCATTGTTTCTTTCAAAATACCACAAATCTTTTCTAGCAGTTTCAGCTGGGGCTCAGAGTCAAGGCCAAAGTTCAAGTAACATCAGAGTTTATTTTTGAAATAAAGGTTTATTTCCTCATGGAATTCTTGAAGGGTTTGCCCCGCGTGTGTGTGAAGCATTGAGTCTGGGCTGAAAGGAATTTATTTTAGGACCTTGAGCCGTCTTTGGCTCTTAGGCCTATTGCCCCAGGAGGTGATTGATGGCCATGTAAGTTTCCAGTCCACCCCTGGAGGCCCAGCTCTGGGCCTGCACTCCTCCAGACTCCAGAAGCCTCTGTTGCCTCCAGGGCAGAAACATACTTTTCCCTCTCAGGCCTTGTAGCCCTGACCCCCCCAAGCGCTTCCACCCTGCACTGTGGCACATTGATTAGCATGGACATCAGAGACGTGGTTGACTGAATTGTAGGCACTTTTCTGCTTGAAAAGCTGCCACATCACTTTCTTTGAGTTACTAGACTGGATCCGAGGAGAAAGCATGCTTGTGTTATACTGTAGAGCTAAGCACTAATATCAAAAAGACTAAATGACTTTAAGAGGAAGGAATCTATCTAGTGTTTTCCAGTTCTTAATTCTCTCTGTTCAGACACTGAGAACCTGGAACAACAGAATGTTTGAGTTCGGATTGACAAGCAGACTTTTATGACCTGCTGGCTACATACTTTTTTCATTCATAATGAAAGTATCTTTCCTGAAGTCATAGCAAGGGCATGTTGAGTGGAATGCACAGTCTTAAAACTCAGATAAAGCAGGCTCGGGATATAGCTCAGGGGTAGAGTGTCTGCCTAGTAGGCTGGTTTGACTCCTGCCTCACAAAAGCCTAAAACAACAAACAGAACCTATTGACTAAAACAAGTGACTCTGAAGGACTGTCAAGGACAGACCCTGGCGTCTCTCCTGAGACGTTTGTGTGTCACTGGGAAGGGGCTGCAGGAAGGAAGCTTTCTCACCTCTGGTTCTGAAACAGGTCTGGGACCGGTGCTGTGCCAGGTTGTATGAAGAGGCCCACAGGCCCGAGAAGAAGAAGAAGGATGTGCCTTTTTCCTTTGCAGCTGTGACAAGGAGAAAGGGCATATTTTATATTAGCTGTTCATCCTTTCCAATTCGTATGTTTAAATTAAAACTCCAGGTTCCTTGCAGCAAGCAGGATGGGCAGTGGGAAGAGAGTCGAGTGAGCGGTCCATTTCCCCAACTCCGTCTTGCCTCTCTTTCTGTCTCCGCTTCAGTCAGGGCCATGCCCAGTTCCACTGGTGGGCCTAATTTAGGTCCAGATTGTATCTCCTAGCACGATTATGGGGAAAACTGCTACAGGCCTTGGAGCCTCGGAGTTGGCAGTGGGTGGGAAGCGCCTAGCACTTGGAGGTGTGGTGAGGTACTGTTGTTAAAGGCCTCCCCTTCCTCTGCCTCCACAGCTTCCTCGCAGCTTTTGGCTCCTGCCCAGGTTAGTGCCGAGGTTTATAGGCGACTCAAAGCAACTGTTTAATTCACCGAGCGCTTATTGGTAACTCAGCCCTGAGGTCGGCGGCACAGGTGGTTGTGGCAGCCTTGGCTTCCACATTGATTCTAGATGAAATTCTTAAGTGCCTCCTTCCTGTGTTGGCAATGTTCTGTTCCAGAAACTACAGTGACCCTCCATTGCCCCTTTGGCCAAGTTCAATTCTTTAGTAAGGGTTTCCTATCTGGCTCTGCCTAATAATCTAGCTTCATTTATTCATTCATTTAACAGACACTTCCTGAGTACCTAATGCATGCTAGTCACTGGGCTTGGCATTGGCCATACAGCAGCAAGCAAGACGAATGTGGCTCCTGCCTTCAGGGAGCTCCTGGGGGGAGGGAGATGATAGTATTACAAAGAAATACTATTACTATTATCATAAACAAACAGAGATGATCATATTACCCTCTGTACACCGCTCCAGATGCTGTGCTAGAGGGTGATGGAGAGAGACCCTTCACCTTAGCTGCTTTCCTGCCTGTGAGCTTGGATGGAGAGTGGGGCTTTTAGGACCCCAGTTGTCCCTCCACAGACCAGCGGGACCCTGCTTCCCCAGAGGCCGTCTCTATCCAGTTTCACTTCTTGAACTGCAAGGCGGTCCCTGTCTGGAGGGAAGAGACAGGCTAAGAAGGAAGGTGAAGATTGAACTCCCCCGACCTCCTCCCATCTGCACGCAGACCCGCTGTAGTCCTAGGGAGGGAGGAGGGGCCTGCTCGGAGGTGGCTCCATTGCAAGTCCTTGATGTTTCCTTGATGAAAGCCAGGACTCTCTCATTCAAGCGGCTGGAGTGAGTGAGCACTGACTAGGCTGGGGGGAAGGGCATGGGGCCAAAACTGAGCTTCTTATTATGGAGCTCTGAAAGACTCAGCTTCAGGAATCAGAGTAGGGGGTGTGAGTGCGGGCGGGTGCCTCAACCACCAGGCCCAGTCCAGGCCTGCTGCGTTCAGGCTGCAAAGCTCTGCCCAGACAGTCTCCTTCAATCTGCTTCTACCTCATTTCTCCTCCTCCAGAGCAGAGATCAGTCTGAACAGTTCATAGGTCAGGGAAAAGTATCTCTGCTGAGTAAAGCCAAGTCCCCTACTTCCTGCCAGTCACTCTCTTTGCTGAGGTTGGAGTTCACCAAGTAAAGAACTTTGGATTCTTATTCCACAACCAGATTTCACAGTTCAAAAAGGGGTTATCCTTTGTCCATTTGTCGATTCTTACTTTAATTAGAACTCAACTTATCTAGTAACTATGTTTAAGAAATAAGTATGGACGAGGGCAACTGCATTGCAGTACTTCTTTTTTTTTGTATTTCTCAATTGACAAATAATAATTAGTTACATATGTAGAGGGCACAGTATTATGTTTTGATATATGCATTGCAGATTTAATAAACAAAGCCAATGGACATAGCCATCATGCCACATACTAATTTTGCATAGCAAAACATTTAAAACTGCAAACATGATTTCAATATTCCATGTATAGAGATTTCTTTTTAAAGTTTATTTTATTGTTTTATGTGTATAAGTGTTTGCTTGAACGTGTGTCTGTGCACCATGTGTGTGCCTGGTGCCTGCGGAGGTGAGAAGAGGGTGTCGAGAAGAGGGTGTCGGATCCCCTGGAACTGGAGTTACAGAAGTTGGGAGCTGCCATGTGGGTGCTGGGAATGGAACCTGCATCCTCTGGAAGAGCAGCCAGTGCTCTTAACCACTGAGCCATCTCTCCATCACCTGTAGAGCTTCCTTGAACTGTCTAAGGAACAATGAATTTTCTGAAGCAAAGAATGGAAACAGTTCACATTGTATTAGTGCAGACACAAGAATTTTGCTCAAAATGTTCTGCCAATAGGTTCTGTGGGCTTATACTTAACAGAGCATTTGTAGGATGGAAAGCGAGAGAATTAGAAAAGAAAGGACACCAGAAATCAAAGTGCATTAGTGGAGAACCAGGAGCAAGTTCAGTGTGCGAAGTTCTCCGTGGAAACCTCCCAAGTCCACACAGACATACAATACACGAAAGGCATTCTGGTTTTCTGAGTACACTTTACCTTCTACAATTGAGAGAAATCGGGGTTGTCTACACTGAAAGCACATCTCAGCTCCTGAAACCTCTCTTCTGGGACACTACAGGAGCTCCTTGTGGCCAAGGATGAAATCCATCCCAGCTGCCAGACCCTCCCCCTAAAAGGAAACAGCTCTGGGCTTCCTTTTAGCATAAAATACAAGCGGCGTCCCTCAATCCCAATAGAATGGATTATTCCACGAATTATTATTATTATTATTATTATTATTATTATTATTATTATTATCCGTTCATTCCTTTACAAGCAGACGGAGACAGTGCTGCTCCTCAGAGACACTTTCCTCCTGAACAGTCAAATAAGGTACTTGGTTCTCTCCGCTATGTTTCCAAGATTCTAGCCGCTAGCTTGCTCTGTACTCATAGCCGGTGTGGGTTGATGCGTGCCACTGAGTACCCATTAGAAGAAAAACTAGATGCGTGAAGCCAGACTATTCTGCATGTCTCTGTTGTGACTCGCTGATGTGGATGCCGGTGCGTTTGCATTTTTAGTTTTACAAAGAGGAAAGTTTAAGTTAAAAAAACAAAGCAGAAAACAACCTTAACCATCAGTACTGGGCCTGGAGCTCCTCAGGAGGACGCGGGCACATTCCGTGCAGCGAACATCACACCCTCCTCAACACACATTCACGCAGACCTTCCTTCTTTAACTCTCAGCTCCTTCTTTCTACTCCTACTTCCTTTTTTCTTTTCTCCCAGATCAAGCGTTAATCTGCAAATTTCTGACCGCAAGAGAAAAAAAAAAAAAAGGAGGGGGGGGGGGAAATCCCGAAGTAGCAGAGCGAGGGAGGAGGAGGAGAAAGGCAGGGAGGAGGAGCCCAGCGGAGCCGAGTCAGAGGGACTGGTGGCTCCTGCGAGTGTGCAGCCCGCGGGGAGCCGGCGCTCCAGGCTGTGAAGCCTCCTGTCCGCCTAGCCACCCGCGCTGCTCACCAGCCCGCGTCTAGGGCCCTGCTCCACTCGCGGCCGCCTCTCGGGGGGGCCAGCGGCGCCACAAGGCTAGAGGGCCGCATCGGTCCCCTCGCCAGCGCCCAGGATGCCGTTCTACCGGCGCGTGGTGGTGCCCCAGCGTCTGTGCCCGCGCAACCCGCCGCAGCCACTGACCGAGCTCCGCGACGTGAGCCACCTGGCCGCGCTCAGCCTGCTCCGCCAGCTCGCCGACCTCTGCGGCCACTCGCTGGCTCTGCTCGAGGACCTCGAGGGGCACCTGCTGGCCCTGGGGCGCCGCACCGACAGCCTGTACCGGCGCACCATTCGTCTCCGCCACCGTCTTCCCTGTCGCCTGCTCGGCCCGGAGGACGACGAAGAATTGCTAGGTAAATGGCGCGAGGCGCCTGCGACCCGCGACCCTCTCCCACCCTCCTCTGGGGATGTCCCGCTGCGTCCGCCCGTGGATGCCCCTTGGAGATCGAGGGACACGGCCTCCCGGACGCCCTCCCGCCGTCCGATCTTCCCGGGATCCGCTCGCGCCATCCCGAGGGGCCCTCTACCCTCAGGGTTCCGGTCTGGGGGCTACCGCCGCTTCTGCAGCGCTTGGAGAGGGAGGGGATCTGCAGGGTCCCGGGAGGTACGGACCAAAGTGTCCCGGTGGCGTCGGGAACCGAGTGGCCGCGCCGGCGTCTCTGGTGATCGGCCACTTTGGAAAGCGCGCCGAGATGCCTGCCTCCCTCCCGGGTGGCGGGGCCTCTGCAGCCAGACCCGTGCGACTTCGTGCTGGAGTGTGAACGGCCTTCCCGCGCCCAGCAGCTTCTGAGCGCCCTTCCCGCCCGCTTCTCCCCGCACGTTCCGCGTTGCCGCCCCGGGAGTGGCCGGCAGGGGGAGGGGAGACTGTCCCGGGCTTCGCTGATCCCCGGCCGCTAAGGTCCCGCTGCCCAGATTTGCAGGAGAGAACCATTTAAAGAAACTGTCATCAGTTTTCTTTAAAGTGTGTTCGCTTTAAGATCCAGACAAATGCCCGAGAAACGCCAGGTCCCGGCAGTTTCCTCACTGAACACTAAGAACCTGTGAGACTGTAGGCAGGCGGGAGCCCTGGCTCTTTGCTACTTTGAATCTCAACATTTTGAATAGGGAGAATCTCCTCTGTGAAGAGAGCCAACATTCCCTTAGAATGTGGAACTTCTCTCAAAACAAGGGTGTGTGTGTGTGTGTGTGTGTGTGTGTGTGTGTGTGTGTGTGTGTGTGTGTGTGTATAAGTTAGAAATGCTGATAATAGCAGAGACACGCCAGGTAATCGGGTCAGTTTGCACCTAGAGGAGGTTAAGAGAGAGACAGAGACAGAGAGACAGAGAGAGACACAGACAGAGAGAGACACAGAGACAGAGAGAGACTGAGTGGGAGGGTGGGGGGAGGGGCCGTGTTCCAGAAAGTTTCAGATGGAGGCAGAAGATGGCTACTTGTTGACTTTTGAGTGAGGCTTTGGGAGAGAGAATTGTCTAGGTCAGCCCTTCTTCCTTGCAGACTCCACCCCTTCCGAAACGACAGGAGTCAGTTCTGCCATCCCTCTTCCTTCATAAAGGTCTCTGACCTTTGAGGTAGATGGCAGAGGTCGCTGCTAGAGAAAAATAAACTGAATCCTGTGAGCAAAGGAAGGTGGAAGACACAGATGACTGCCAGATGGAATGTGAACATGGAACCACGAGCCGCTGTGAAGCAGGGGACTAGGAAAGGTGAGGTCCTGGGTCTGGCTCCCTCTCAGTTAACAAAGAGGGTAAGAAGGTCGTTGTTTTTCTGCTCCTGGGGTCCCACTGATTACCAGGATTAGTCTACGAGAAACTTGATAAAACCGATTGGAGATTACTTTTCCAAATCCTTGTCCAGCCTGCAGAGTACAGCCTGCAGAGAGCCACCTACTGAGTTCAGGAGGGTAAGTTGAGGCCAGGGAGGAAGGTCTGTTTTTCCAACTCACTTTTTTTGTGTGTGTGCTGAGTCAGCCAGCCCTTCCCATGGGCTGGGGTGTTGGGATGGCTTCACCAAATCACCTGAGGGCCTAACCCTTTCCAGTTATCTGCTCGGTTAGAAAGAGCTAGTTCGATGGCACTGGTGTATTGTTAAAGGAAAGGAATGACTCGTGAGATAAAATGCCATTGATCTGGCCTCTTGGAAGTTTGCAGGAGCGGAGAGTGTGTCTGCCTCTTATCTCTAGTGTGGTCGCTGGCCTTTGAGAATGTGCATGTTGTGTGACTCTGAGGTACTCCAAGGACCGCTGCATACAGCAAACAGGGCGGCCGACCTTCTGTGAGTCGCTAAAGAAGATCTGCTAGTCTGTTCTCCTGCCCTAGACTCTTCCTGAGCTTCCCAGTGCACTCTTTTCAGTGGCCGTGGGCCCTCTCAACAGTGGGCCGAGGGGAAATACCAAATGCAGAGAGAGATGGGGAGCGTGATCAGAGGACCATCTGCCCCCCCCCCCTTGTTGCTGAGGCATAAGGTTCAACAAGGTGTCCAGCAGGCTGGATATTAGATTATGATCATGAGCAAACAAGCAGACGTTGCCAGGTCCAGTCTTTTTCGTTTGTTCTTTCGGGTACCCTTTCCTCCTAGCATCCCTACATCGTTCCTGAGCGTCTTGCTGAGGGCCAGCACTTGCAGTTAGCATTTTGCCCTACATACTGCCTGTCTAGCTAGACTTCCTCTCGCATTCTTCCCGTAGCTGTTTCTTCCATCCATGGTGGGAACGAGAAATCTGGGAGGGAGGGAGGGAGCTTTGGAAACATGTGAATGACAGCTGACAGGCCAGCAGCTTGGAGCCTCCCTACTGGGACAACTTGGCTGCCACCAAAGGGCTGAAGAGTGACAAGTCACACGGGCCCCCAGCATGCAGGCTGGGCTGGGGCCGTGGGAGCAGCAGGGGAGGACAGGATGGACAGGATGGACAGGATGGGAGGAAAGATAGAGGAGGAGAAAGTGGATACTGAAGGATTCCACGTGATTCTTTACACTGTCTCGGGTCCAACTCCCTCCATCTTCAAGGTTACAGGGGTGGGACTGGGCTGCCCGGGTTGCCTAGCAACAATCCCCCCAAGGCCATTCTTTGGTAACTTGAGCCCCTTTGAGTTTGCCCTAGAAACTCTCATAACTGGGGAACGAGGGTGGTAGAGAAACGGGCCCACTCTGGTCTGCACCAAGCCCCCTCTGACTGTGGATCTACAGCACTTGCCATATCCCAGGCAAGGCCTTGCTTCTAAATCGAGTCCCCCCTGCCCCATACGGCTTTGGATGTGACCCGTTCTGTTGCATCCTGTGGCTTTTATTCTGTTCTTCTCCAAGTTGTTATGGTCAAAGCCAGTGGGACATAGCTCCATGCCTGCTGCTGTAGGCTGAGTCAATCCAAGCTTTCCTACTCCTCCCTCAGAGATCTATTGAATGTTTGTAGGTGCTTAGATGATAAATACAGAAGCAATGAGGACATCAACCCAGGGGCATAATATCTCCTTTGAGATAGTAGGAAGTTAGTGAAACACTGTATAGCTCTAGGTAGATTTATTTTATATTTATTACATTTTTATTTATGTATTGTGTGTGTGCATGTGAGTCCTGGTGATTGAACTTAGGTTATGTTGTGGCCACCCTAGCTGCAAACCATAAAGGACAGCTGGCTTATTTTGCTTGAAAGGATGGTCCTGGCGTGTTATAACTCTGCATAGGGTGAAAAGGAGGACCTCTCCACCTCTTGACCACAGTCAGTTTACCACTAGATGAGACATTACACCCCGAGTTACACTGCTCTTGCTTAGAAGGACTGAGCATGCCCTCTGGAGACTGATGGAGCTTAGGGGATCTTGGGAGACTCGAGAGGCACATTGCCAGGACTGATTTTGTCTCTGTCCTGCCTGTCATCCTCAGAGGCTCTTGGGACAGTGGGTTGACAGAAGGGCTTTGGGGGTTGGAACCAAACCCATTTTCTGTAATTTTTTTCTTTACCTCCCATTTTCTCCCTGAATACCATGAAATTATTGGTCTGCTTCATGGTATTTCCATGTGTTGAAAATATCTTCTCTGGAAATTTGAACACCAAAATGTCCACTAGAATTTCCTCCTCTTTAGAAACAAGAAATTTAATCTCCTCCTTTTTAGACACGTGAACAGTTAAAGTGACAAAACATCAAGATGTCAGACTAGGAGAGGAATAGAAGACTTAAGTTATGGCTTCTGGGCTGACCTCTGACCCTGATGAAGGTGATCAAGTTTCAGGAGAAGAGTGGTGCATTGACATCACCTGTCCCTGCCTGTACCTCTCTGGCTTGAGTGGAATCTATTTATACTATACTGTGTGAACCAAAAATTCAGTCATTAAACCATTGTGAGTATCATGGCACATGTACAGCCAAGGCCCAGGAAGGGGAAAGGACCCATCCAAAGTCACTCAGAGAGATCAAGACTTGTAGTAACCCCGAGTGATGAGGGGATTGCCTCTATACATGTGATTCCAAATGAAGGGTAGAAACCATGAAGCAAAGGATTCTCCCTTTGAAATGACTCAATGATCACTTGTATGCTGAAATTCAATAGACTCTCTTCCTCTCCTCTCTCTTTTGTATTCCTGTTGCTTGTGATCCAGGAACGTATTCAGTCTGCCAGTTTAGGAATGGGGCACTCACTGGCCAAGTCATAGAGAAAGTCAGTGACAGAAATCCTTGATTCAGAAGGGGCATCTGACATTCTCAACCAGGGTTCTGCCCTCTGTCAGTTCATTGAAAGGCCCTGCTCTGGCATTTTCTCTAGCTGGAATTTGTCCAGGATAAGGAATAATTCCTGATTCCTTTCATCCCCGAGGGATGCTTTAAAGAAGAGCTCCCACCCCATGGTTTCTGTAGTTGGGAGGCAAGTTGGAGCTGGAGAGGAAGGATGCCCAACCCTGCTTGGTACAGAGAGCAGGTGTGTTAAAGCTTTGAGTTTGGAGTGAAGTTTGTTCTGGAGAAATGATCTTCAGGTGGGAAAGGGGAGTTAGCCATCGACAGACACACTGGCCTCTGAAGGTCCCCTTCCCATCAGGGTCCTTTACTACTGATCTTTACACTGACCCTTCAAGATGGCGGTTCAGTTGTAGCTATGAGGCATCTTGACTATGTTCTGTTGCTGTAGTAGAGCTTAGTTGGCATTTCCAAAAGCTCGTTTATTAAAAACCAAGGGGAACAAGAAAGTAAAATGATTGCCAGAAATGCATTTAGCATACATGTTTCCAGGGAATGGATTGCTTATCCTTCTGTGCATAAGTAGCTTAACGGGCTTATCGGCTCTGCTGTTCTGTACTCTTTCTGAGGACTCCACTCATCCTCTCTTTGGATTATTACTTTCTATAGAACTAGGCCCAACTCTGTTT